CTCTGGCTGCAACCCGCAGGCCACCCCCCCCACCCCAACACTGGTTCCCAGCCTGCCAGGGGCAATGGCAACACCCGGGGTCCCTGCAAACATGCCTGTCCCCAGATCACACTTCACCCCGGTGCCACCAGCCCCCTGCCTCCGGTGAGAAACTTTTCTCTCAATTTGACCCCCCACGGCCATTCACTGTATATGCTCCTCCCTTCCAGGCTGCACTACCCAAGGCCTTACCCACATTTTACTTGGATGCGCACAGCCCACAACCCACTTCCCCATTCTTTCCTCACAGCATTCTGGCAGGCAAATTGTTCTCCTAACTGTTCATCTCAGCACATCCTCATACCCAGTTAACTACACAACCTGGAAATCAATTCTATGCATGTTCTGCATTATTGTACACTTATTCCCTTTTGGAGGTCCTTCCTTTTCAATCACAAAATACGCCCCTCTTGGCAAAAACGTATCTTCTTATTTGCCAGTCACATCCAGTACGATCTCAGACAACAAAGTCGGCATTAAAGGAACAATAGACAGAAAGTGATGTCAAGTGCAACATGGAAACAAATTACCTTATCCATGTGCCTGCAGTTCATGGGCATCACTGAGTGTGCCTTGATGTGCGTCGTTCCCGGCTCCGTGGAATACACAACCTCCAACCAGTCACCCTTGCAAGGCACAAAGCCTAAACAACCACGGAGAAGAGTGAGTGCAATTATCTCACCCCTGAGGTCACGTGTAATACCACAGCTTCCCCGATGCTGTCATACCCCAACATACCTGGTATCGCGTGCAAAGCTCATTTTGTACGTGGTTAAGACAGACACTTTATAAATGCTTGTACCAGAGCGAAGTTTACAATTCTTTAACCCTTAAGTCACCTCTACTATGCCAGCTTCTCTGGCCCAGCACAGGATTCGTTAATCACCTGGTCCCATTCACAACACCTTTGGCAGGGGCGGTGTAGTACACAGGTGAGAGCATAAGGCTGGGCCTGGCTGCTACCAACACAGGAATACACACACACACACACACACACACACACACACACACAACTGCACGCGTGCTATGAGGTTATCTCCACTGTTAATTTGAAGTAGGAGGAAAATAGCACCCTTTACATTATAACATGTTGCTATCATCTAGAAATTAAATACATTTATTACTGAAAATATTATAGGGATGTTATTGATTCCATTCACTCATATGAAATCATAGCAGGTATTTCTATAAACCTTATCTTTTTCCCCCTGTATTATACATTAGTTTCATTTCCAAGTGTCTGATTTACATTTTAAAGAACTGCTAACTAGAGCCAAGTACATAATAATAGTAGCTCTTCCACTACAGCTTCCTAAAAACTTAATCATACCTTCACAAACAGTATCTAGACAGAAAGAAATTCCTTCATTAATATAGATGGTATCCTTCATTACAGAGGTGATGTAACCAATTAGAACTTTTGTTCCAGGGTTCGATGGTCCAGAGTCATCAAAATGATCACTGAAAGCCTCCACCTGTAAGATACAGAGTTACTTCAAGGAAAATAAAACTTAACATACGAACTTGTATGATTCCCAAAGAATCTCTATCAGATCAACCAGAATTCCACCAGTTAGCCTGTCACAGTTCTATAGATTCTTGCAAGATAAATGATTCTCTGCCCAACATTGTTCATACCATAGGTGTGCCAGAAATATTTTAAATAACCACCCTCACAACCAGTCCTTATATTTCACATACCAAATATATCATGGACATAAGATGATGGTAAAATAATGTCTGTGCTTTGTGGATTGTTAAACTACCTACTTCCAATATGTTAACTGTGCATCCATTTTTAATGCCTTCACAGCATTAGTTGCAAATATAAAAACATAATGTCTGTGTCTTTTAATTTCAAAATTCAACAATGTAGAATGGAAAATAACTAGATCTAAGTGACTTGTGATGGTGGATATAAGTCAAGTTTGAAAATGGCTCTTATGAACTCACAGGGGGAATAAAATAGTAGACTGGAACAAAATCAAAGCAGTACGTGGATATTGTGGGGCTTGAGCTGTGTGTGAAAGGAGAAGTGTTACCTGGTAAATGGAGGTGGAGGCAGTAGTAGGAAGAGAGAGAGAAAATAACAATAAACACAAGTTAGGACAATCAGATAGAAAATCATAATATTCAAAATGTTCATCTAGGTGCCAGGATCATGATATAAAACTGCATAAATAACCATAATGAGAAGAGATCTAAAAAAGACAAGTCACATTAGGGCTTAATTTATCTAGGATATAGAGGAACACAAATATTTTAGCGTATTAGCACTAATGGTCCTTTTTTAAAAAAATTCTTAATTACACACACATGTTCATTATAGAATAAGAAACAAATTAGCACAAGGCAGAAAACAATTACTTAATGCATAAATATATTTACCTAGAGATAGGCATTGATTCACTTAATTACTTAACATATTTCAGATATATGTGTATCTATACATGCATAAAAATGTGTATATATATTCTGCACCTTTGAAACAAGCTTTAAGAGATTAAAAATGGTGGAATAAAGACTAGCAGCCTCTCCAGGACCTGGAATTAAGAAACTTGCAAAACAACAACTTCTTGCGGAAGAATGGAAGCAGATCCCTGTGAATCAAGAAGTTGATAGGAAAACTAGAAACTCTGAAGAAGCTAAAGAAATGGAATAAAGCACAGAGAGGGGAAAAAAAAAGAAGCAGTCTGAAAAGCCATTCCCAGCTCCTGGGGAGGGGGACTTGTCCCTACTAACACAAGGCAAGCCCAGAGAGGGTAGACAGCTCCGGGGAGAAACAAAGAACCAGGCCAGCAGTGCTAGCACCAAGAAAAGTCCACAATTATTGTAAACTGAAGAAAAAAAAACACACCAATATAGGGCTTGTTATGGTTTGTATCCGCCCCAAGCCTCATGTGCTCATAGGTGGGACTTTGAGGAGCTGGATGGTTCGTGGATGTATGATACTGGATTAGTATGTGTGATACTGACCTTAAGTGTATGATAACTAAATTGGTTTAGCATAGTTATGGTATGGAAAAGGGAAGCTCCACCCTGGGTATGGGTAGCATCATAGGTTTGCATCCTAGATGGAATATAAAGGGACAGAAAGAGTGCAGATATGAAACCCAGGACCTTTGCAGTGGGCTACTTAACCAGTTCTTTTTATTTTTTAATTTGAGACAGGGTCTTGCTAAGGCACCAAATTGCCCAAACTGGGCTAGAACTTGTGATCCTTCTGCCTCAGCCTCCCAGAGTGCTGAGATTACAGGTATCTACTGTCATGTCCATTGGAAAATGACTTTCTACCTGAAGAACAGTAAGTCACAGGAAAGGAAAGTCCAACAATTAACATTGTTAATCATATTGTTTAATACTAGAAGGGGGAAACAATTTTTACACATAAGAAACATATCAGGCCTGGGCCTGGTGGCACATGCCTATAATTCCAGGTACTCGGGAGGCAGTGACAGGAGGATTGCTCAAGCTCAGTAATTCCAGAACAGCCTGGGCAATATGGGGAGAATTTATCTCAAAAACTAAATATAAAAAAAGGCCAAAGCAGATATGGCAGGACCTGAGGGAGACTATAACCAGAGTCCATCTCAAACAACAACAAAAAAAAACATCAAAACTCTCTACAAGTACTATGACAGAAGAACCTTGGCTTCACAGAAGTGGAATTTTAAATTCCATTCCATATCCACTGTACAGGTTATGGTAGGTTATGCATTCGAACCAGAAAGCAAAATTGAAAGCTCACAAGCAAAAAGAGACTGTTCCAAACACACAAATCTTACTTCAATTGCTTTCAGTCCAAAAGATGTTTTATCTTCTTCCACAACTGCGAAAACTTTGTGCCCAACTACAAGAGGTACATTGCTGATCACAACATCAGTACTGAAGTAGATGGACTCATCAATCAAGCCATAATCACTGCATATTCTTGTGACAACTCCCTGCACAGTTCTCGTTTTGACAGCACCTGTGGGGTGGGGAGATAACAGGTTTAATTAGTTAATCTCAAAGGCAAACACACACAAATAAGTCCTAGCAGAGGAAGATATGGTAGAAACCCTTCCACTTCAGATTTGCGGTATGGATGACATGGACAGTACGGCATCTCATGGTGATGAGTATCCAGGTCCAGTTCTGGCTGAGCCATTTCTCTCTATAGGACAGTGACTCAACACCACAAGCGGTGAGTGTGCAGACTGAAGGCATATTGCCTGAGTTTCAATAACAGCTCCCACAGTGCCCACCTGTGTAGCCCTATTTGCCCATCACTGTTGATTTCTGTTGGAAACGTTAACTGACACATACATGGCGACTGCTTAGGATTGTGAGTTCCTGGCACAGAGAGTATAAATGCTGTTATTACCACATCTGGGTATGGAAAGTCTTTAAAGGTCCACTGTTATTAAATAGCTTCATCACTTTTGTCAACATAATGAAGCAGCATATGGATCAGTCTGAGAAGGATCTTTAAACATCTTACCAGGGCACTGAAAAATACAAGAGATTTAAGGCTAGTCAAAAAGTGCAACCAAACAAGTGGGGAGTTTGTTTTTCTGAACAAGCACAGCGAGTAAGTGGACTTCTGGGATCTCACCGTAGACAGTCTACCTGCAGAAGTTGCGTTCTGAACCGTAAGACCACAGCTGACTACCGTATAAAATGCGTGGATCAAAATCATGCCTGGGAAAAAGCTTAATTATATGAGATTATGCAAATTAAACCAAGCCAATCTGCCAAATTTTTAAAAGATCAGCTGAATTTGTTAGTAGCATCATACTAGAGAAGAAAGAAGGGTAAAGGAGGCAACTACCACTCATGCCCACGACAACTTGTCAAAGACTATGTGTACCAGTTGATAAAAATAATATTCACCACAGTGAGAGAATTTCAGCTAATGTCAGAGAAACTGCCTTCTCTGGCAACATTTGCAGTGATCACCTGCCTCCATTCCCCAAAGGTCGGCACTCTATAGGCATAAGGATCCGCAGGAGAGGACCAGTCCTGCCAGGTAGATAGTGCTGAGCAGAGGAGTCTCTGCCTATCCCCTCCTGAGGACGAGTGCCTGCAGGTGAGGGAGATTGACAGGTAGGAAATGGCTGTTTGATAGGAGTGGAGGGTGTGAACTCTGCTGGACTGCAAACTGACTGTGTGCCATCTCCTTCCTGTTTCTACTCCTGCTTGGCTGCTGAATGGGCATACCAATACTGGGAATTCTCTCTTTGGACTTTTGTGGATATAAATGACATGCAGCTCCAAGCCTGACACTCAGACCCAAGAGTCAGGAGTGCAGTGCTTGGCACATATAAAAGTGGGGTGCAAATTAGAATTCATGTGATGTAAAGCAGAGACACCACCCACTCCCAAACCTTCCCAAATTTTATTGGAACCTAATCCAGCACATGGAGGATTTTTATGTACCTCCCCTGCATGTCCTGAGTAACCTGAGGCAGGAGACAGGACACAAAGTGAGCAAGCCAAATGTGGCTCTTGTTGTACCACAAGTGACATGTGGCTCAACCAGTTGGCTTGAGATATAAGATCAAATTCACCTTCAAACTAAGCATTTCCCTTTTCCTAGAAATCCAGAGATATAAAAAGGCAGAGTGCAAGGGGAAACACAGGGGTAGTGCAGTCTTCAAGACCTCCTCTGTGTCATGATCTTTTTCTGATACTGGGGATTGAACCCAAAGACTTCATGCTGAGCTGCATTCGCAAATCTATCTTCCTTCCTTTGCCTTCTTCCCTTCCCTAACCCTTCATCTTTCTCTCTACCCACTTCCCACCTCTCTCCGCCCTTCCCACCTCTCTCCCCCCTTCCCACCTCTCCCTTCCCCTTCTCCCCTCTCCTGCCCCATATCCCTCCTCTTGCCCCTATCGCCCTCTCCTCTCCTCTCCCCTTTCCTCCCTTCCCCTTTCTAGTGGATGAGGAACATCCATTCCCTTCTTTTTCTTTCTCTCTCTCTCTCTCTCTCTCTCTCTCTCTGGTGGATGAGGAACATCCATTCCCTTCTTTTTCCTCTCCCCCCTCCACTATATCCAGACAAGATATCCCTGAGAGGCTAAATTATCCAGGCTGGGCTTCAAAGGAACCCAAAATCCTCTTACCTCTGCCTCCCAGTGCTGGGATTACAGTGCACCACCAAGTCTTTCTCTGTCACTACATCTATGTGTTGATACAAACACTTTCTGGCTTTGGACCAACAGGAAACGGATGGGCACGCATGGACAGAGGCCTGCGACTATTCAGACGCCCTTCCACCACACACATAGGCACAAGATGGCGGTGACCACACCCCCACCCCGCTCCTGAGCAGGGCTGAGGTGCCCCCTTGAGAACACTTCTTTCGGGACGGGCACGCATGGACAGAGGTCTGCAACTATTGGGACGCCCTTCCCCCGACACACATAGGCACAAGATGGCGGTGACCACACCCCCACCCCGCTCCTGAACAGGGCTGAGGCGCCCCCTTGAGGACACTACTTTCGGGACGGGCACGCATGGACAGAGGCCTGTGACTATTCAGACGCCCTTCCACCACACACATAGGCACAAGATGGTGGTGACCACACCCCCACCCCACTCCTGAGCAGGGCTGAGGCGCCCCCCTTGAGGACACTCCTTTCGGGGCAGACAAGGCCCACACTGAAGAGTACCTGGCAGCAGCCTCTGCTGATCTTCTCTGAGGTTCACCCGCCTCCTCCAGAAGAAGGCCAAAGCCCGGCTCAGAAGGCTCATCATGTTGCTGTCTCCACCGGCCCGGACGCCGCCTCAACACACAGAAGTAGCACAAAGCTTCCTCTGTCGTGACTCCCTCAGGTCACAGGAATGCCTCAAGAACCCTCCTCCAGCTTCTCTCCCTCAGCCTCTGTGAGGTGCGACTGAATCCCTTGTAAAGGGCACCCAGAGGGCTAGGGGCACAGCGCCACCAGAGGAGATCGAAAGTGCCTTTAACCACTAGAGGGGGCACTTTCAGGGTCACCTCCTTCCTCAGTCCAGCCAATGGTGGTGGTGGTAGGGGATGCCGTGAGTGGGCACGTAGGTCCCTATGGCCAATAAGAGGTGGTGGGTGGGTAAACCATGGCTCCTCCCATCAAAGCTAAGGGAGCCAGTAGGAAGATCTCAGTGAAACGACTTTGAGCTGAGACCCTGGTGTATTTTTAGGGAATGTTGGGTGGAGGTGCTCTTCTGCGAGCTCCCCTTGAGGGACTACAGGTCTGGCTTGTGAAATGTGACAGAAACCTGTGCAAACAAACAAACAAACAAAAACTCAGAATGATATTTAGTGTGAGGACTGGGCTTACGGTAGGTGGTCAGTGATTACTCTTCAGCCCAGATCCGTGGGGCATCCTGTGAGCACGTAACATACTGGGAATCCTCAGTACCTGTCTTTTATACTGAGACTCCCTCTATGTATACCTGTTGTAATTTATCAGAGAATTCTCTGATGATGGTGGTGCATTGTGCTATGTGCTAGAAGTGTTCATTGGATTAGAGGATCGCCCGGGGTTGCAGAATGGATTTAGGCAGCAGTAGGTCATGAAGGGTGCTTAGAGATTGTGGCCTCTCCATTCAACAAGTGTCAGCATGAAAAATATGAGGTATGAGAATGAAAGGAGGGTTTTTTTCTTCTGGTATTAGTAATAACTAAGACAGAGTATAGGCTCATTGCTGGGCACTGCTCTGAATCCATTACATGTGATAACTGATTTAGTCCTTAAAGCTCTGCAAGACAGAGATTATTATTATTTCTTTTTTGGTACACTAGGACCCTGTGGCAACAGGAATTTGAACCACTTGCCTAAGGGAGAAAATGGATTTTGGTTCAAATAAGCTGTCTCTGTCCTTGACATATATAAGTCCAGTGTCATACTTAGAGCCCAATTTTTTTTCTACCTGCTGAGTGTGGACACTCATTCTTAAACTGTGTCATCCCTTCCTTTAAGAAACATTCCCCATGTATGTGTATGTATATAAACACATCACATATGTCAATTAGCCCAGGATCTCACTTGTGTTAGACAAGTGTTCTACCCCTAAGCCACAGCCCTGGCCCTTCTGTTTGTGAAGTAAGCATTCACCTTGGGCCTTTGTCTTCCTGTTCCTAACTTTTTAAGTTGTAAAATTTTCTTTAATGGCAAATAATCTTCTGAAGAGTGGATCATATTCATCTTTCTTCATTTAATATATTTAAATGTTTTCATTGATTGCCCAGTCCCCAGCATGTACTAGGTATAGCGTATGAGGTGGGAGTACATTACAACAAACAAGTAAATATGGCATATGTCAGCATTGAAGTTTCGTAGTAATTTTTAAAACTCCATTAGTACCTGGGTGCTACCGACCGTAGGGCAGCAAATACGGGATTTCACGAGGAGATACAGGTTCTCTGAAAGGTGGGAGCAGGTTCGGCGATGACAGTCAGACAAAAGCACACAACACCGAGGTGAAGTTTGCCAATGCTGCTGCAATTTTATTTCTAACTCTAGGTGTTTATATACTAGTTTCAAGGGCACACCTCAAGAGTGATTCCAGTCACAGGCAGGCATGAAAAAGATAGACAATAGTATTGTAAAAACTAAGACCACAAGGTCAAGGTAAGACCACACCTATATACCATCACAAAAGCTAAGACCATTAAGTCAAGGTAAGACCACACCTATATACCATCACAAAAGCTAAGACCATTAAGTCAAGGTAAGACCACACCTATACGCAGTCAGAAGGGGAAGTTTGTAAGACAAAGGACTGGCTTTAGCATGTCACCTTCAGGTTCACCTTCAGGACTTCATAGTCCGGGGCTCAGGGTCAGCACTTTGGCCACCCGTCCTCTTGTGCCTCAATATCTCCACATCTCTAGGAACATCTAATAGTTCCTAACCTTTCCTGGGCCCAGAATACAATTCTACAGATAATGAACAAATAGTAATAAAGACAAAATAGAACAGAATTATAGATGAACCCAATGTCCCCAAACTGCAGGCAGAGAGGCCAGCTGTTCTCTTCACGGCTGACTTCGCATGCGGTGTGTGCCAAGGACCTCCAGGAGGCTTAACCCCGTGGGGACGATACCTCTGGTCTGGTTTCTGCCAGGTGACCGGCATTGTCACGCAGACTCTACTGGCGTGGTCGTGGCACCTGGGCATGGTAGCACACACTTACAATCCCAGCACAGGAAGGCTGAGGCAGTAGGATCACAAGTTTAAGTCCCACCTGGGCACTTTAGTGAGACTTTGTTTCAAAATAACAATTAAAAAAAGGCCTGGAAATGTAACTCAGTGTGACAGTCCTGTGCTCAATCCTCAGTACCAAACAAAGGAGCTACATTAGTAATTAAAATATTACCTATACCTCTTTGTGTTAGGGTTAATGTTTTTCTTTATCAGTAATACTAATCGAACATAGGATCTGCAAGTATATATGAGCTGTATTCTCATTGTATGAACACAATACAATTTACTGAAAAATACACCTTTCAGCTGGGCAATGGTGGCTCATGCCTGTAATCCCAGCACTGGGGAGGCTGAGGCAGGGGGTGGATTGCCATAAGTTTGAGGCCCGCGTGGGCTACACAGTGAGTTCAAAGCCAGCCTGCACTGCACAGAGAGACCCTGTCTCAACCCTTCCCCTTCAAATACACCAAAAAACAAAAAACAGACCTTTCACCATTTATTAACCAAAACTTTATGCATTTTTGTGAGTAGTTTTGTTGAATATAGTACTAGAAGAAAAATTACTATTTATAACTGGTAGGAAAAATTTTTAAATTTGCTTAAAAATACCAATTTAATTTCCCAAAAACCAGTATCATTTTTTCTCTCTCATTAGTGTGGTATCATGATAAAAAGAAAACTTACTGTTTATTTTAAATGTCATATTTATCAATCACATTGAATATATTCATTTTCCATGTACACTTACTTTTATATCTACTGCAAGGAACAATAGAGAAACTGAGAATGAACAGAACATAAATAACAACTGCTTATGCAGCAAGAAGCCAATGAAGCCAAAACACGAATTCTACAGTAACCAGGCTCCAACAGTGAGAACCTGGCCAATAACTGCCAATATTCTTCACTGTGGACCCTGTTTCAAACTTGGGACCAAGTGGAGGGTTCCAAATATGCTCCCCTAGTCAATCTTAGACAATGTTCCACTACTAGCTGGTCTCTATCTTCACTGAGCCAAAAACATACTACCAGGGTATCCTCAAAGCCTTTCCATTTTTTCTACTAGTTTTCCAACTTCCTTGAATACTATTACATCGCTTCCAAACAAAAGATAATGGCCATATCCCTTGCTACAGAGAACCAGAAATATACTGTTCTTGTTTTCATGTCTTTACAAAATTGTTGGATGTATGATTGGTTAAATATTCTATCATTTTGTGAATATGTGAAATACCAAACCATCACATATACTAAACCTATACATATATTTTTATTTTTACAAAAACGTATACAGATTGCCTAATATGTACTGTTTATATAAATCAGCTCAAATTAGGAGGTATTTGCCACTCTTGAATGCTAATGAATGTTATATAATTACTGTAGATATGAAATATTTTGCTTTAATGTGTATCACTTCATATTGTTCTACCAAAATTGTATCTGTTCTCTTACAACTTCTCGTACATGTCAAAATTTGCATCAAATTAACAATTAAAATAAACTATGTTAATATTTTGCTTGGAAAAAAAAAAAGAAACATTCCCCAGGGAGAGATAAAGACCCTGGGGAAAAGGATGGTTGGTAAATCAGGATAAGGTTACATATGTGTCTGACCATTCTGAAATGTGAGAGAAGAATGGGATTCACATGGCAGGGGTGCTGATAGGGATCTTTAACTCCATGACTACAATCCTGGGTGAGTGTGAAACGTACCAGAGTGTGGTTCAGGTTATTTTGGGGAGAGAGTATACCTTTACTTTGTCAGATTTTCAAAGCCCGCCTGTGCCTCAGGCTCTCAGAATAAAATTGTGAAACTTCACTGCTCTGAGTTTTGAGAGATATAGTTAGAAAAGTATATGGGAGGGGCCGGGGATTTAGCTCAGTGGCACCATGCCTGCCTCTCAAACGCAAGGTCCAGACTTTGATCCCTGGTACAAAAAATAATAATAAGGGAACAAAGAAGTATGTGGGGGACCACTAAATATATTGCTTACAAGTCATCGTTAAGAAAATAAAATGAAGCCAGGTATGTTGAATCATGCTTATAGTCTCAGCTACTCCAGAGGCTCAGGTAGGAGTATTAAAAGTTAGAATAGCCTGGGCAACTTAGTGATTTAACGTGACCCTGTTTAAAAGAAAAACATGAAAAGAGGTAGGAATGTAGCTCAGTATGAAGATCCTGCGTTCCATCCCAAATGAGAAAGAGAGAGAGAGAGAGAGAGAGGGAGAGAGAGAGAGAGAGATAGGTAAGCCACAGGCTAGATAAAAACTTTTACAAAATGCATATTGGATGAAAGCCTTGGATCCAGAATGTATATGGTGTCCTGAATAATATATACTATGTGAATATAATATATCATGTCTGTAATTATAATGCAATAAGACAAACATTCAATAAAATATGCAAGAAATTTCAACACTTCACTGAAGAAAACATATACATGACAAATGAGGATCTAAAACTATGTTCAACCATTGTAATTCAGTAAGGGGAATGAAAATTCAAATTACAAGGAAATATCACTCACTACACATCAACAAAAAGTGTAAAATGTTTAAAGTCCCACTGAACAAGTGCTGGGAAATATATAGAGCAATTGAAACTCACACCCTGCTGTGGGGGGTATGAAATCATATAACTACCATGGAGACCAGTGTGTCAATTGCTTGAAAAGCCAAACATACCCTTTTCATGTGGTCTGGTAATTCTACTGTGGTATTTACCACAAAGAAAAGAAAAAATATGTCCACATAAAGGTTTGTACATAACTGTTCAAAGCTGCT